CTAAAAAGTATTATCTCTATTCACTGTCTTGACTTTCTTTACTCTGGCTTCCATCCCCACCATTCCATCGAAAACTTCTTTTAAGATCATCAGTAACCTTCATGTCGCCATTCCAACAGACATGTCTATCTGCATCTTTCTCACTCACCACAGGAATAGACTCAGTTGAACTTGAAATACTGTTTTAGCTTTGCTTTTGTGACACCATCCTCTTCCTATCCCTCTTGATCTCCTATTTTACCTAACCTCTAATCTCTTGCTAGTTAAAGTGTGATCCAGAAGACCAGCAGCATTAATAGTATCTGGGACTTTGTTAGATTTGCAGACTCAGACCCCAAACCTACTGGATCAGAATCTGCAATTAACATAATCACCAGATAACTCCTGGGACATGAAAGTTTTAGAATCATTGCTCTAGGGGTGCCTGGGTGGCTCAGTTGGTTAAGCGACTGCCTTCGGCTCAGGTCATGATCCTGGAGTCCCAGGATCGAGTCCCGCATTGGGCTCCCTGCTCGGCAGGGAGTCTGCTTCTTCCTCTGACCCTCCTCCCTCTCATGCTCTCATTCTCTCTCTCTCAAATAAATAAATAAAATCTTAAAAAAAAAAAAATCATTGCTCTAAATGTTGGTGTGCACCCAGAGCCCTGTGCTGTGCTTTCCTCCTAGGTGGTCCCATCCAGACCCAAGGCTTTAAAAACTATGTATTTTTTATCTCCAAATCTCTCTCTCTCACACACAGCTCTGACAGCTCTCCTAAATTCCAAATTCATATACTCAAGAGCCTACATGACATGTCCATTTGGATGTCTCAAATATTTCAAACCTAATATATTGAAACAGAAACCCTCTCCCCATCTCACTACATAGCTCCATCAAAGTAAGAACAGCTGTTTACTGAGCCCTCACAATGCTACAGGTATGATCTTCAGTGCATAACACATATCAGCTCCTTTAGTCCTCAGGACACCACCAAGAGACAGGTACTAGGATTGTCCCCATTTTACAGAAGAGTACCTGAAACATGGAGAGTTAAGTAGAGGCATATCTTGTTTTACTGCACTTCATTTTACTGCACTTTGAAGGTTTGTGGCAACTCTATGTCAAGCAAGTCTATCGTCACCATTTTTTCCAATAGCATTTACTCACTTTGTGTCTGTGTCACATTTTGGTGGTTCTCACAGTATTTCTACCTTTTTCATTATCATATTTGTTATGATGATCTGTGATCTTTCATGTTACTATTGTAATTGTTTTAGGGTGCCTCAAACTGAGCCCCTATAAGATGAAAACTTAATCAGTAAATGTTATGTGTGTTCTGACTGTACCACCAACCGGCCATTCCCCCATCTCTCTCCCTCTCCTCAGGCCTCCCTTTTGCCTGAGACACAACAATATTAAAATTAGGCCAATGAGTAACTCTACAATGGTCCCTCAATGTTCAAGTGAAAGGAAGAGTTGCACATCTCTCACTTAAAGTCAAAAGCTAGAAATGATTAGGCTTAGTAAGGAAGGCATGTCAAAAGCTGAGATAGGCCAAAAGCTAAGTCTCACTTGCCAAACAGGTAGCCAAGTTGTGAGTGCAAGGGAAAGGTTCTTGAAGGAATTTAAAAGTGCTGCTCCAATCTTGCATAATTGCAAGACTGCTGAATCACAGATCTGTACCTCTGAAACAAATAATACAATATATGTTAAAAAAAAAAAAAAAAAAAA